TTCTGCTCCAGAACGACCCTTAACATAAAGGGAAGCTAACTGATCCCAATCCACTTTAGGAAGAAATTCCCTAGTCCTCTCTGGGGTGATTTCAAGATCTTTAACTGTTGCAATGATGCTATCCAAATTATTTCCATCTTGAGGTGGCCAATCTGAACTACTGGCAAGATAAAGTGCATGAGTATAATAAATATGTCAAATGGTCAACAAAGTCAAAAGAGAGAGAAATGTATCGTTCTAAGTTTAGTGGCATCCCAGAAGTATATGAATATTAAACAACTAACACAGAATTTTCTTGATCCAAGTCTATGAAATTAGGACGATAAGAAAAACAACTTATATGCTTCCAGTTGCTTTTTATTTTATTTTCTGCAATTAAATGACAATTGAGATGTTCAAACATAAGATAACCATCTCATAAAGATGCAATAAACAGCCCCCAAATCCTTGTTATCAGACAAGCTACAATACATACTCTTGAACAGATATGAGCAGTGCATAAAATTTATTATCTCCAGTATACAAACCCAAGATATGGTGATATATCATAATAAATTTGCAAGGAACATGTAAGAGATATTACAAAGAATATCATTCATCCATAGCATAACAGTTAACAAATTATAAAATTATCCTAATGTGAATCGCAAAATGCATAACTAGTCTTGTGTTGCAAACCATAATCAATTTAAGACATGACTTCAGAGTTCAGACACACAGAAATGATATAGATATCATATGGAACAAAAACAAATTCTTTAACAATTAGAAAAACACACCTCAACCAATCCACTGAAACTTGAAGTGCCTCTTGAAATTGCTGCCTTATTCCCCTTTCAAGATTTTCTCTTTCTTCTCTGGACCATTTTTTCCGCTGAAGTCTAAGTGGAAATTCCATTAAAGCCATTTTGTAACTGGCTACACTAGAGTTCTCAGGTGGACCATAATCAACAGTGACCTTTTTATCATTAACCTGCAGCGGCAAAAACAATAACTATACCTTAACTTCACAAGACACAGATGCAAACAACCAATCATTGAGAAATTAATTTTTGCGTCATCAACTTACAGGGGGGAAAAAAGCATCACTAGACACACCAGGTGCCCATAGGTGCACACCTTGACAACACTAGATATGGAGAAATAAATTATAGCTAACTATTACATGCGAAGCTCCCACCCCCAATCACAAGAAAAAGGAAAATAAAATAAACCCAAAATACTATTAGTTGTTGGTATTTAGGAATACAGGGAAAAGATCCATGCAACAGATCTAGTTAGTGACACGCTGAAACTTACAACATGGTATATGCAGAAAATATTTTAAAGTGCATGATGTACCATAATAAATATCTGTTAACATGGGAATAGAAACTTTGGACAGTTAAATGATAAATATAAAAAACACTTGACTACCTTTATTGTTCATTCCAAAAATTAAATAAACACACATATATAACTATATGAGAATAAATAGAAGCATAAAAGACCAGAGAGAAAAGTGGTCACCTCAGGATCCTTAGAAGTCCTTGACTTTCTTGCTGAAATTAACCGTATACGAGGATCCTTCTTAGCTGATAATGCTCGGCCTGTTAATTTTTTGCAAGAAACCTGAAAATCTCTAAGAATTTTAACACGTTCCTTCAATTTCTTGTTCTCCTCAATTTTAACTTCAATCTGAGTAAACTTACATCGAAGAAGCTTCTGATAAGACCTGTTCCTTTTAATTGCATCAAACAGAAGCTGGGCAGACTTCGGGAACCTTGAGGACTTATATGTTGATAACTCATGGACATCAGACTGGTCCAACTGAACTAAACCTAGAGACTGCATCTCCACATTGTCAATTGAAACATGAGAAATATTACCAGACTGCTCATGATCTTGAAATCTTTCACAAATATCATTGCCTGTTACTTCCTCTAAGGGTGTGCTAGTCATATAAGTGGACTCTCTTTTCTCCATATCATCCTCTCTGCTGTTTTTCCATGTGTCTGATCAACATAAATAAAAGAAATGCAAACCAGGGGCATAAACGAGCAGCAACCACAGGTAATTTTCATGTTTTAACAAATAACCATTGCCTTCAACACATCTAACAATATTATGCACCACAATTTAACCTGAAAATCCACCACAATAGCTACTTGTTTCTAAAATAAATTACTACAAATTTGATGAATACAGTTAAGAATCTCACAAACATCTCTGAGAGAGAGGGTTCCTGAGATTAAAAAAGAAACAAATTTTGTCACATTTGGCTGGCGTTCAATATGAAAAAAGTTACAATTTAGCAAGAAAAGAAAAGAAGAGAAAAGAAAAAACTTCAGACCACATAAGATCTCTTAGACTTAAAATTCTGAAACCCCAAAAAATGGACAGAAAATCTTTGACATAGTTTTCACTTGTTCGCTTCTACCAACTTACACATGCAATCAAAATTGTAATTTCTATATCGGTATTTTAGTAGTAATTCTGCTAGTTCAACCTTCAGACAAATTTTCACTACTAAAAATTTGATATTGAACTGAAAAAAAATAAGGCACAAAATTCAGAACTTAAGAAGATATCGAGATGGGTTTAGATTTAACATTTTAGTCAATAATGAAGCAATGAAAATTCTATATTCGTACACGAAACAGGAAATTCACTATCCAGTTAAATAGAATTAATTAAAACACCAACCCACTAAACTGTGAAACCAAAGTTTCAAGGAGGATAGATACTTACCATCAGTAGAATAAGCCAAAAACCGCTTCTGGATGACGCGAAGAGTATCCAAATCGTCTTCAGCATCCCCATCAGCAGAAACCGGAGGAAGAGTGCAGAGAGGCTCCATAGAAAGAGTATCACAAACGTCCAGGGAAAGCGCTAAACGATCCCGTACACTCCGGAAAATCTCCATATCATCGTCGCTCCCCGTGTCCCTGGACGCAGCCGAGGCGTCGGCATCCGAAGTGGAAGGTCGGTCGTTGTCGACAGGGACGAATTCGAGACCGTTAAGGTCGGTTCCGGTGCGCAGGCAGGCTTTCTTTAGGGCTTCCATGTCCTCGTCAAAACCGTCGCCGTTTTCGCTGCCGGAGAGCTCAACGTCATCTAGTTCTTCTCCGTCTTTATTCCCGGCGTCGTATTGATCGTGTAGAGACATTGCTTTTGGCTTGTTTGTAGATACAAGAAGCGAAAATCAACAGTGGGATTATTGTTAAGTTGCTGTGGGAAGGCTGAAGAAAGTCGCTAGAGTGAACAAACAAGCGAATAGGCATGTAAAGGAACCGCACACGAACTGGGTATGTTCCTTTCGTTATCATAAACGAAGACGAATATAAATGAATATAGTTTGTTTATATTCGTTCATTTAAATAATAAACGAACATAAACGAATACGAACAAACGAATATAAACGAATACAATAAACGAACATAATAAATGAACAACACAAACATAAAAAAATTTATTCGAACACAACAAACGAATGTAAAAAAAAAGTAAAGAACAATAATAACAACTTAAAATTCATTAATATAACATGTAACTTTAGAGTTAATTTGTTAGAATATGACAAAAACATACATAAATCATAAATAAGCTATATGAACATAATAAAGTCTTAAAGTTAATTTGTTTAACAAAAAAATCTTCTTGAAATCCAAACAACTTCAATAATCTTCGTAACATATTCAACTTGCCCTCTACTCGAACATAAATGAACAAACATAAATGAACGAACATAAATGAACATAAATGAACGAACATAAATGAACGAACATATAATCGAACGTTCACGAACGTAAATGAACGAACGAACCATTTGTTCATGTTCGTTCATTTAATTAAACGAACACAAAATCTTGTTCATGTTCGTTCATTTAATAAATAAACGAACATAAACGAACTTCCTACCGTACGGTTCGTTGAACGTTCAGTTAATTTACATGCCTACAAGCGAAGGTTTCTGATTCCAATTCGAAGCAAAAACAAAAGGTTGATGGGCCTTCACTAGGGTGAGAATAAGATCCATTAATACTTTGGGTTCCAAAAGATAAGTTTGGGCTTAAGGATTGGGTCTTGTTCTTGTACCATGGAGAAAAAAATGGTAAATATATATTTGGTAAATGAACTTGGCTTCAATATGCAATTTAGTTACCTAAATGTTTTTTTTTTCGAATTATGTACCTGAACCTGATTTTAAGGCAAATTTGTTTATCTAAATAGGTACTTGAACTTGACTTTTAGGTTCAAATTGAAATAGGGATAGGTATTTGACACGAACTTCGATGGTTTCTAATCGATTCGAGTTGACAAGATTGAGTTTTTTATTTTAAATGAATTCGGTTCAGGTCAAGTTAGACTTTTAAAGATAAAAGTAGGTTGGATTTGAGTTGTGTGCGTGCGTGCATATTGGGTCGGATCAGGTAATGTGCAAATTTTTGCCTTAAGAATCAGATCGTACTTCGGGTCGGGTGACGAATAGAAGATTGTTATACTATGGCCGTGGTAAGATGAGTTAAAAATTAGACTCAATTTGACTTATGACCATCCTTATGCATAACCTTGGCTTCATGGTTCAAATAAATCATTTATTGCACTACTAATTTGGACCCAAAAAAAAAAGTAATGTTGGGCATCAATTTGAGCCAACAAGTTAAGTTCAAGTACCAAATTGGAGGAAAAAATTAGGTATCAAAATGAATCCTAAATATAAGTTCATGTACTTAATTAGACAAAAAAAAATTAAACATCAAATTACACATTAAAGTTAAATCCAAATGCCGAAATGTATATTTAGTCGAGAAGGAAAAATAAATTTCATTGGATTAATAGTATCATATACGTCCTTTTTTCTGTCAATGAAAATGAAATTTCATTAAAGAAAGTATAGGAGAAACAAGGTAAGGCAGTCCTGATAACAACCAGGGTCCTGATAAGTTAATACGTTTGGTCAAGGCTCGATATAATTTCAAAATTTAAATTAATTATGGATGAAAGACAAATCACGAAAGTAGAAAACAAACCACAATCGAACATCACATTTCCCAAACTTACACGACATGGTTCACTACATTGATGCTTTTTTTTTGTGAACCATGCACTTTATTCATTACTGAGAAACTAAAACAGACTACACGTTCGGTTCTTACATAAGATCATCACTGATTGTCAACAACTTGTTTTATAGCTTTAGATGCTTTGACAAAGACGAATGGCCACCCATTTCCATTAGTGAGACCTAAACGAAGCATCTCATCATAAGAAAATCTGTCAATTTCGTTGCATAATCTTACGCACGAATCGCACACCGAAGGGCAGAATCTCAGTCTGTAATCATATCCATCTTTCTCGATCTTGAACCAGTTGGACAAAGTTTGAGGACCAGGGTTACCTACATCCCCACCGGTTGTGAGCCACCATTGTCCTGCGGAAGGATCATAATTGCCGACGCTCCATGTAGGCACATCTCGGCAGTACGCGTCTATGCCGATGAACTGTATGTTTACATCGGTGGAAACATAGACGACGGGATCATTAGTGTCGACGGGATGAAAGAACACCGGCCTACCGTTTGAAAACATTTCTTGGACTACGAATTTCGGACAAGACAGTTCAGATGAGGCTAAGTCGAGCCCACCACCACCAGCACCTCGTATCGCTGACACGATGTAGTATTCAAGGCCGGAGCGGAGCGGTTCGCCATCAGTATCGAGCACCGGCTCCTTTGCAGCGTTGGCTACGGAGAAGAGAAAGAAGATGAACAAAGCTGCAGCTGATATAGTTTTCATGGTTTAGTGTTTTGGGTGCTGGTTGCGTAGTTTGTTTGGACCAATTTATAGAGGTATAGGTGCATGAAGCTTGGTTGCGTAGTTTGTTTTGGATTTTGGTAATAATAGGTGTATAATGTTTTTATTGTTATATTTTTAGGTATCTAGCGTTATATTTTTTAATTTTTTAATAATAAAAATATTATTTTAAAAAAGAAAAATAAAAAATTAAACCCCCTCGTCGTTTTTCTCCCTCTTATCCCCACACTATCAACGGAGAAGGATCACTACCGATCGTGTAACGTACGAATTACTGTAGCAGTCGAAATCGCCAGAAAACGGCAACAAAAAGACTATAAATCCATCGACCTTCGCGACGTTTTTACGACAATCGGCGCTGCTTCACGGTGGGTGAAGGACGGCAATATGGTTTTGATGTGTCAACGGTGATGGCCATAGACCGATTGCAGTCGATCCACAACGAAAAATGTAGAATTTGGGGAGTTGTTTTAAAATTACAATATTAAATTTTTTTAAATAAAATGATTTTTGAAATTTTATATGCGTGATACGTGTTAGATAACATGTAAATTTAACGTCGTTACAGTTCAAACACCTAAAAATACAACATTGAAAAAGTTAATCACCTTATGCACAAAATCATTTTTTAAGGTATAAATATATTGAGCTTAATATATATTCTGCTCACCGGTTGGTAGAAAATACACTCTTTTAAGAAATAATTAAAAAATTATATCTCTGAGTTAATTAAAAAGACAATACTTTTTATTTTAGAGAAAATCGCCTCAGTGACCAAAAATACCTTATAATATACGATTTTAACCAACTTTTTTTGGATTTGCCAAAATGACCAACAAAATCGCAACGCGAAATAAAAATCGCAACGCGATCACCAGAATCACAAATCAGTTTCCAAAATCGCAATGCGATTCTTGAAAATCGCAATGCGATAGTACAAATTCGCATTGCAATTTTACAGAATCGCAACGCGAATATGAAAATCGCAACGCGAACACATAAATCGCAACGCGTATCCGTAAATCGCAACGTGTATCCGTAAATCGCAACGCGTATCCGTAAATCGCAATGCGTATCCGTATATCGCAACGCGTATCTGTAAATCGCAACGACAATACGTAAAATCGCAACGCGTATCCGTAAATCGCAACACGATTTTTAAAGCGCCATTATAATCGCTACGCGTATTTTATTTTCAAATTACAAAAACGAATATTAAGACAAAATCCCGTAATCGCAACTCATAACCTAAAACCTAAAATCACAACTCAGTCCCATCTCCATCTCTCACTCTCTACGGCGAAATCCGTCCCCATCTCCGAAGATTTCCGTCCCCATCTCCGGCGAAATCCCTCACAACCATTCACGGTCAGAAATCCCTCACAATATTCAGAAATGGAAAATCAACCTCCGAGGGTTAGTTTTTTTAATTATTTTTATTTTGAAATTTTTGCATTATTGTAGGTTTTTCATATTGAAACTGATGATAAGTTTACTGGTCATTTCAATAATAGATTAACCATTTCACTTAGATTTCATTTCGCGTTACGATTCTCTTGTTGCGATTTTCATTTCGCGTTGCTATTCTCTCGTTGCGATTTTCAAGTTAGTATTTGTCTTTGTCTTTGTTCTGTCTTTTGGTTGAAGTAATGCAATCCATTCAAGTTTCAATTTGCAGAAGAGTCGCAACGAGATAAATGAAAATCGCAACGTGAAAATGACTATCTGCAACGAGAAAAATGAAAATCGCAACGCGAAATGAAAATCGCAACGAGAGAATCGCAACGCGAAACCAAAATCGCATTGCGATTTTCATTTCGCGTTGCGATTCTCTCGTTGCGATTTTCATTTCGCGTTGCGATTCTCTCGTTGCGATTTTCATTTCTCTCGTTGCGACAGTCATTCTCTCGTTGCGATTTTCATTTCAACCAAAAGATAAAACAGTGTTGCAAATTTTAGTTTCAAGAATAAACTACTACTTTTTATGTTTATTGTTTTTGGTATATCTTCACAGTGTAGTTTTTGGTATATCTAACTTGGTATGTTTATTGTTTTTGTAGAAATTTTTTTCGGCTTCATTGACATTAAGGAATAAAGTTAGCCTAACCACTACAATTGCTTCGAAGCTTTCACCTGCACAAAGACAATTGTTTGAGGAAACCTTCTTCGGGCCATGGCTGAGAGTACAGCATCCGGGTGGAGATGCTAATTTGACCCATTTGTGGCTTCAGACCATGACATCAAATCTACCCGACAGTATACAACGTGGTGAGGAAGAGATATGGTTTCATTTTCCACCAGCGTATACTTGTTTTGGGCAGAAGGAGTTCTGCTTAATCACTGGTCTACGATTCGGACACGATGATGTAGGCCGGTACACTCGTCATATCGCCCGCCCATCATGGTTATCCCGGGTTTTTCCGGATGAGTCAATGGAGAAGCCGAACCTACACGTCGACGACCTGAAGAAATTGTTTAATAAGAAAGCTGGTTTCACTCGGATGGATGACGTCGATGTTGTCCGAGTATGCCTTCTACTACTTGTGTATGCCGGCTTTTTAGGCAGAGAGGCCAGACAACCTATTCCTCGGGAGCTGCCTACCTGCATTATATGGCTAAATCGATATATACGAGACGCTGCCTACCTGCATCCGCGTTATAAAAATGTCCATAAACAATTGGTAAGTTTATAGACTTTTGGTTTGAAAATGTTTGGTTAAGTACCTAGAATTCAATAATTTGCTGTTTGTAGGTTTTAGATGTGTAGAAAGTGTTGTTTGAGCAAATGTTTGGTTTCTGCAGGTTAATCTCAGAAGTGAACTGCGTGAAAATGATGTATGGCTGCAAAAGTTGATTCAATAGTTTAATTGATTGTTTTTTGATTGTTTAATTGATTTGTAAAAGTTGATTCAATAGTAGATGATCGGAAATAAGAATTATTGCTTATTTTTTGATTGTTTAATTGATTTGTAAAAGATGATTTGTAAAAGTTGATTTGTGTAATTGATGCGAACATAATTCTTATTTGTGCTTGTTTAATTGATTGAAATGTAATGGTTGATTTTGTTGATTTCAATCTGCATTATGTTGAAGGCAAAAATGACTATCGCAATGCGAAATGAAAATCGCAATGCGAAATGAAAATCGCAACGAGAGAATCGCAATGCGAAATGAAAATCGCAATGCGGAAATGAAAATCGCAACGAGAGAATCGCAATGCGATTTTAATTTCGCATTGCGATTCTCTCGTTGCGATTTTCATTTCGCATTGCGATTTTCATTTCGCATTGCGATTCTCTCGTTGCGATTTTCATTTCGCATTGCGATTTTCATTTCCGCATTGCGATTCTCTCGTTGCGATTTTCATTTCACATTGCGATTTTCATTTCCGCATTGCGATTTTCATGTTGGGATTTTCATTTCGCATTGCGATTCTCTCGTTGCGATTGTAATTTCCGTGTTGCGATAGTCAAATGCATGCCTAATAAGTGATAACAACTGAATAACAAGAGTTGGTTAAGTCAAAATGGTTGGCCTGAGTCATTAATTCAACTGAAAATGTTAAAAGTTCACACATAAAATCCACATAATACAACGTTTGCATTTAAAAATCACCTAAGTTAACAGTCCCAAAAGGTGAAGCCAATTGTGATTGGGATTTTAAAGATGATTGCCTTTTGCTTGACACCATATGAGCTTTGGATTTTGATGAGGATCCATATTTTGGTAGAGGAAAAGATGATTTTGATGGCACTGGTGATCCACATGTCAACCTTGTATGACCACTTTCCTTGCACCGACTACATGTCGATCTCTTCTTCTCTTCACCCTTAGACGGTATACGATCGTGACTTTTTGGTCGGCCAGGTAGCCTTCTGTCCATGGCTGGTGGCAAAACTGTTTGTAAGTCATCTGGTATGTCCCACTCAGAAGGATGTGGAATAGGGTAGACAATCTCGGCATAAGTCTGTCGATAAACTTCTGTAGTGTAGCAATCCATAGCGTATGCGCTTGAATCATCTTGGTTTAAATGAAGAGCAACTTTTATAACATGGCCACACGGATAACCAGATGTTTGCCATTTCATACAACTACACGTCTTTGCATTTAGATCGACTAGCCCATTTAAGTTATTATCCAGTACTTGAAACAAAGTGTTTGAACATGGTTCAACTCTCCATGACGTTGACTTCACAACACGTTTCGTTATCTTTTTTTCAGTCCATGGTGTATCACGATGTTCCAATGTTCCTGTAAATTTAAATAAACAATACTTAGTAAAATATATAAATATGATAAGTTACGAATTCAAAGAAATAATACCTGCATGGTTTCTTTTCTTGTAGTACCACTGTTGAATAGAGGCTCGAAAAAACTCCATTAACATAGTAATGGGTAATTTCCGGGAATGACGACTTAGAGCGTTGATTGATTCTGCACTATTAGACGTCATGAAACCATATCTTGCTCCAAGTTGATGTACTCTTGACCATCTTTCAAACCCGACATCTTCTAGTGTTTGAGCACACTGAGGCAAAACACGTCTTAAACAATTTATATGCTTATTGAAATCCACTTCCCGATAAGCTTTTACAGCCTTCCAGTATGTCCATTTGTGCTTTTTTATACCAGCAGACCTTGATTTTAGATTTCTATACAAATGAACACCACAAAGTCCATGAAAAGCATCTGGGAAACACCTTCTAACAGCGTTGTCAATTGAGTTTGCCCTATCGGATATGATTGTCAGATTGCTAATAGGACCTATGCAATCCCTAAGATGCCCCATAAACCATGTCCATGAATCAGAGGTTTCAGATTTGCCAACCCCGTAAGCTATTGGCAATATCCCATTGTTAGCATCCATGGCTACTGCTAATAAGTTTACTCCAAGGTATCGACCTTTCAAATGTGCTCCGTCAACTATAATAACTGGGCGCATGCAAGTAATAAACGAACGAATCTACAAAATAATATACACAAGAAATATAATCATTTAAATGTGAAATGCATGTAACTAACAAAAA